TTTGCCTCGTCCCTCCCGCTTTCCCTCTTCCCGACCCCTCCTCCTCCCAACTCCCTCCTGGCGCCGCTAAGTTTCTTCGCTTACGACCGCGCGCTGAGCTGGGGCCGGGCCGGAGCTGCACCCCCGCTGCCCTGTCCCCGCGCACAGACCTCGGGCCCGGCCCCGGCCCTCGGAACCATGCTGTGCGGCCGCTGGAGGAGTTGCCGCCGCCGCCGGCGTGAGGAGCCTCCGATGCCGGCCCAGGTCGCAGCTGCCGTCGCGCTCCTGCCGCAGCCCGCACCCCAGGACGCCGGCAGCAAGAGGCCTGGCTTGCGGGCGCTGAAGAAGTTGGGTCAGTGACCAGCGGGGGTGGTTCGGGTGGGCGCCAACTGTCCCCACCGCGCAACTTGGGAGGGCCGGGGTGTTCCGGTGAGCCGTTCTTGCGCTTCCCAGGCTTCATGGAGTTGTGGGGAGTATGGCGAGGTACGAAATGTCAGCACCATTCCAAATGGGGGTCGCACCTGCGGTCACCCAAGGTCCCCGGCCCGAGCCAGGCGCCCAGGATAGCCTTCGTTTCCCACCAGGAGGCGCCCACGAGGCGCGCTGGAGTGGGAGTTTGGGCGAAGGGTGCGGATCGGGGTCCCTGAGGGCCTGGGAGAGTGAAGTGAGAGACAAGCTTGGGGCATCCTCCACCTTCCCATCACCCCGGGCCTTCTAGGGTCTGCGAGCGCCACAGGGCATCCCTGGATCTTGGCTGTCCTTAAGAGGGCAGGAGAGCTGAGGAAGAGGCTAGCCCTCTTAAACCAGCCCTCCAAACCAGCAGCCCCCAGAGGGGTCGCTGCAGCATCACGGCACTGATAGAACTAGTCTAACCGGTGAGCACTCTGTCCTTGGTATCAGAAAACCATCTCAGGTTGGGTGGAAGTCCCTGGGGCAGGGGAGGTAGTAACTGTGGCTTATTAAGCGTCTCTCGACAGGTGGTACTGGGTAGTTACATATGGGGTATCATTCAGGTGGATGGTACAATCCCCATTTCACAGATGAGGAAACTGACTCAGAGAAGTCATGGAATTTACTTATGACCACACAGCTCGTAAAAGGCAAAGGTTGGCATGCAGGCTGTGCTCCACCACCCTGCTGCTGGGACCCTCAGAGTCTGGGCAAAATGAGACTGACTGGGTGGTTGAGTGGCTTGAAAGAGAGGAGTCGTTTCGTATATGTGTAAATACCATGAAACTGCTGTTGGTAGAATAGTTAATGATGGAGAGGTCAGGTGTGGGGCTGAGGGAACAGAAGGACAGGGTGGCCCAGGAGACCTGTATGAATCTTGGAGCAGAATTCAGGGGTACCAAATGCCAGTCTTGCCCTTTCTTTGTTACTGTCCCCCCTCCTTGTTCTTACTTCCACCTCCCACTCATTTAACCTGAATTTACTGAGCACTGACTATGTTCTGAGCACCATGCCTGGCACTCTCTTTACAGAGACATGACATGCTCTCTGCCCTACCCTCCATCAATCAGATATGCAGACAACAAACATTCATCGAGTGCCTATAGTATACTCTGCCCTGGGGATTCAGCAACGAACAGGACAGACACAGTCCTGGTCCTTAGGGAGCTGAGCATCAGGAAGGAGGTCAGACAATGAAGCAAAGAAACAAGACTAGGAAGGGAAGGAGCAAGTGAGATTCTGGGGAGCCTGTGAGGAGCCTGGCTACACCCTAGAGCCAGAGACCAGAATGAGGCAAAGGGGTCTAGGCCAGATCTTCAAGGCCTCTCCTTATAGAGTTATGGACTTTTCCCGAAGGGCAGGAAGACGTTGGCAGGAGTTGTGCCGAGTAGGGGTGGGTTGGGCAAAGGCCGGGGTGAAACAGGAAGACCATAGGAGGGAGGCTGAGGGGTCAGTTGGGCAAACTATAATGAGTCTCAGACAGACTTGGGCTGGTATAGCCAAGATGGATTCTAGAACCGCCTAGGATGTAGAATGGGCTGGACACTGCAGTCAGCGGGATCAGAAAGGTGTCTCTGGTGGGTGGCAGTATCATTCTCTGGGCTAAGAAGTAGTGGAGATTTGGGGAGAAGAGGAGGGCCATGGAATGTTGAGGTGCCACTGAGACTCAAGGGCTAGTATTGGGCCAGAGAAGCAGGCTTGGGAGTCAGCCGCCGACATGGGTTCTGGATGCCATGGGAAGGCAGAGGTGATGCCCTGCACACCTGTCTGCTTCTTCATTCCACACACGTTTGCTCAGCTCCATCAATGTGCCAGGGCACTGTGCCAGGGTTTAGGGCTACAGAGGTGAATAACACAGCACCTTGCCTTTGGGGAGGGAGCACAGTGTAGTGGCCAGAGACACTTGTAGACAAATAATTACAGCTGAGCCCAAGCTGAGTAAGGCTACACAGGAGCTCCAGGCACTCTGTCACAGTGACAAAGTCAGGAGCTATGTGGGTGTCAGAATGTCAGTGTGTGGGTGTCAGAATGCCAGTGTGTGGGGAATGCCCCTTCTGCAGGCCTCACTGAGTCCAGGAAGGGCGAAGATGAAACCCAGGTGACCTGGGGCCCAGCCACTCAGGCCGTCAACAGCAAGGCCTAGGCCCAGCACCAGAGTAGCTTCCAGCACCACTGTGGCCATAGCTCCTCCTGAGATGACCTTCATAGCCATCCGGCCCTGTCATGCCCATGGCCACACCCCTTAGGCTAACAGAACAGATTTTATTGTAGATCAAGTCAAGGGAGAAACTAGGGTGGGGAGTGGCTTAGAGGTCAAAGAGGCCTTTAGAGCCATGGGGTGGGGGACGAAACAGGACGAGGAGGAGAGAGGAACAGCGCCCCACGCTAAGTGGGAGTCATTTGTGGAGCCTGAGGTCTCTCTCCTGTCCCTGCCCTGGACTGGCTGTGGGCTTGGCCTGGCTCCAGGAAGCCAAGGAATAGTTGAAGAGTGAGAAGAGGGGCCCAGTGAGCATCTGCAATGGGCCAGGTGTAGTGCTGAGCCTGCATTAGCCCTGATCCTACTTAATCCCTGACGCCCCCGAGGGGAAGGTGCTACTGTTGTCCTCATATTACAGATTAGAAATTCAAGGTGAAGGAGGTGAAGTCACAGGCCCAAGGCCACATAGTGTCTGCCTGCCTGCCACCAAGGCCTAATTTTCAATGATGGCTCTTTATTGCAAGAATGAATGAATACTAATTAACACCTTTATAACACTATGCCAGGGCTTGTCACGTATTAGCTCATTTAACGCTCACAATCATGAGATAGGTGGTACCGTGAACCTTATTTTACAAATGAGGAAACTGAGGTTCGGAGAGATTGGAAGCTAGGATGTAGCTAAGAGAGAATGTGAACCCAGGCAGTATGGCCCAGAGTCCAAACTCAGAATACAATGAATGAATAAATGAATGAATGAGTGATTTTTACCTGCAGAGACCCTGCTACTACTCTCCCCAATTGTGGCCCTACCAGCCTCCAGGGGTGTCCCCATAGGCTTGCCAAATAAAATATAGGATTCCCAGTTAAATAAAGAATGAATAATTAGAGACATACTAAAATATCATTTGTTGTTTCTCTGAAATTCTAATTTAACTGGGCATTCTGAATTTTACCTGACGACTCTGTCTCCCCAGAGCCCCTATTTGCCTCTGTGCCCCTGATGCTCCACCCTATCCCTAATCCACCGAGTGGCAGAACACTGAGTGGGCAGAATCCTGCTCCCTGCCCTCTCTGGCCAGCACACACCACCAAGTGCCATAAGGCAAAAGGGCTGTCCTCATGGCCTGCCAAGGACGTCTCCTTCAGGGTGAGTGGGGCTGCTGTAGGTGGGGGTTGGCAGCTGTAGGTCTCCAGAGTGGCCCCCAGTGCTGGCAGGTGCCTGGCCCAATGGCGGGGAGGGCTGGATAGCCCTCCTGGCTAAGGAGGGGCATGCTAGGCAGGATGGGGGGGTGGGGATGGGAGAGCTGGCTCTGTCATGCCTTGTACCGCCCTACTCCGGCCTATCCTCCATCTTTAGCTCTGGGGAGCCCCCTCCCACGACTTCTGCCCCCAAGCAGGCTTCACACCTGCTCTGGCCCTGCCAGGAAGGGTGCTGCCACCTTCATCTCACTGTATCCAGCCCAGGGGCAGCAGAAACGCCGCCTGCCTTTCCCAACTTTGCTGATTCTCCAAGGAATGTTATGGACTCTGGCACCAAGCTCCACTGGGCTCTAGCCCTGTGTGACAGCCAGCCAGGGCAAGAGGGACATGCTTGGTTCCTGAGGTGCTAGGGCTGCCTGCTGGCTAGAGGATTCAGGCAGGAAGGTATTTTGGGACCCTTCACCATTGCGTGTCTCCTCCCAGAGCCTCACGGTCCCAGCCACCCAGCAAAGCTGCTCTTCCTCCCCCTCCCCCACTGGCATGAAGCTGTCGGCTGTCACTGTTCCGCATGTCTCTTTTTTGGAGCCCCATCCTTCCTTCCTGAGTGTGCATTGGCACACACAGACACACACACACTGCCTATTTTCCTCCCCAAGCTAACCCACAATTCTCCCTCCCACCAACCCCACCCCACACAATGCCCACACCCTCTATGTACACACCACCCTACACACACCCTCACTCAAGACCTACCACTCCTTTCACATTCTGCTCTCTGCATATCATCCCTCTATCAACATGCCCCACGACCTCACAGCGGCTTGCCCCACTTTCCCACCACCACTGCCAACATGCTCTGGCCCCTGCCCATCCCCGACACAGGCCCTGCAACCTTCCCTTTCTTGGGCGGCCCCCTTTCAGCTTACACGGCTTGCCTTCTCTGAGCTTCAGTGGACCATCAATGAAGAGAGTGGGATTTGGAGGTCAGAGATGGGTTTGGCCTTCCCCGTGACTCCTTCCAGCTCTGCTGTTGAGGCAGTTTTCTGCCTCTGGCTTTGGCTGCTGGGATAGAACTGCTCAGGCCCCAGACCCCACACAGCCCAGACAGCCCAGTGGTAGTTGGGAAACTGTGGACCTGCCCACTCCTCACCACTTCCTGGCCCCTCTGTAGGGGCTGAAATAAGCAATAGGCTCAGAGAAGGTGTCTGAGCCCCAGCTGACAACACGGAACTGGAGCTGGGGGCCATGAGACTGAGGAGGACAGATGTAGTGTAACACCTGGTCCCTCATCCCTCTCAGGGCACTGCCTCAATTTCTTCCTTTATTATCATTATCGAGTGCCCACTGTGGACCAGGCCCTAAACGAAAGCGCTCCATGTGCTTTAGCTCTCTGGAACCTGCATAGTCCTGGAGTTAGGCTTCCCCATCTCTCATGCATCCAGCTCCACCACTCACCAACCCGGGGGCCCTGGACAAGTTAGTGAGCAACTCCGTGCCTCTTTTCAGCTTTATTGAGAGTTCACATGCCATACAATTTGCCCATGTAAAGTGTACAGTGGTTTCTGGCATTATTAATTTTCAAAATTGTATTAAAATATACATAACATAAAATTGGCCATTTTAACCTTTTTTAAGTGGCTAACTCATGGTAGTTTCTACATTCACAATGTTGTGCTATGTCCAAAACTTTTTCATCACCCTAAACAGAAACTCTGAAACTATTAGGAAGTAATTCCTCCTTCCTCCTCTCCCTCAGCCCTTGGTAACTGCTAATCTACTTTGTCTCTGAATTTTTTTTAAATTGAAGTATAAGTGACATATAAACTCTATGAATTCGACTACTCTAGGTAACTCATATAAATAGAATCATACAATGAAACATACAATGTCATTTTAGGTCTGGCTTATTTCACTTAGCATAATGTTTCTAAGATTCATTCATGCTGTAGTATAGATCAGATTTCGCTCCTTTTTATGGCTGAACAATATTCCTCTGTAGGGATATACCTCATTTTGCTTATTCATCCGTCGATGGACACTTGAGTTGTTTCCACCTTTTGGCTATCGTTTTTACTGGTATAATTTCATGATTGTTCCTCCACCTGCCCAGTCAAGGTAGCTGTGGAGCAGACCCAGCCCAGCTCCAGGTTCAAGGCAGAGGTGGATAGAGAACCCATAGAAATCATAGGAGGCAGGAAGCTTGTGCACCTGCTCCAAGCAGGTAGGAATGAGGTCAAGGAAACGTCTGTGGGTTTGGGCTTGGCAGGACCTATAAATATTTACTGGGTGGCTGGGCCGACAGCCAGATCCCTCTCACATCACTGCCCAGGGCCTGGGCCCTCCTTCTGACCTCACCCCCTTACCTCTGTGGGTCCTGCCCCTCCTGTCCGACATCCAGTCTCCCCAATACCCCAAGGTTCATAAGTTCAAGCAATGGAGAAATGGAGGCACCCACCCAGGGACTCAGCACTTGGCCCAGCCTGGCTCTTCACCTTCAATCTGTTTGGCTTTTTTCATTGGGGGTGTTGCTGGGGGACAGTGTGAACCAAAGGACAGTGTGATCCAGGGGCCAATGCCAGTTTGGTGGACAGACTAGGATGTCACCCCTTCACCCAACAGGTTCCTGGGGGACTAGGGGTGAGGGCCAGGAGCAGGGAACCTGTCCTAGTGGGAGGCTGGTGAAGAGTTCAGGCTGCTTGTCTCTATGTCCTGTTTGCAGAATACTCTGGACAAAGCAGGCCCTCAGTGACTCACTTCCATTTCCGGCCTTAGTCATCTACTAGTCCCCCTCTTTTCCATCCCTCCCAACTATGGGCTTGGCAGCAGAGGGCTAGCCAGGACAGGGGAGGTGGCCCCAGCTGCAGAGCCTGGTTGTTGTGGAAATGAAGGGTCCCCTTTCCCACAGCCGAGAGGTGAGAAGGGGTGGGCTCAGTTGTGGTGGCCCTCCAGGTTTCCCTGTCTTGCCACCCACCCCATTGTTTCCCAGGATGAGAGAATTCAGAGATTGCACAGATACGGGGATAGGGGTATGGGGGTCTGGTGAGTCCCTTGGCCTGGCGCATGTAATGTTCCAGCTCTTTGTCTGGAAAGAGGAGAGTTCCACTGACCCTCCCAGAGGGCCACAGTCTAAATCCTGAGAAACCCTTTGGAGCCATTAAAGTCACAGGCTGGCCCCAAGGGGGACCTTAGCCTCCTAAGGATGGCAGGTTTCTCCTCCCGCCCCTGAGATCCTGATTCTCACTCACAGTCACCCTCCAAGTCACAGGGTGGGTTTTTAAACACACAGATGCCCAGGCCCCGGGCTACACCTGCTGGATGAGAATCTCTAGGCCATGGGTTTTGCAACCTCCCCCAGGTGATACTGATGCACAGCCAGGGTTGAGAAACCCAGACTCATAGGGTCTCTGCTCTGAGGAGTCAGGGACAGGGCTGGGGATAGAGTGCACTTAGTTCTCCAGCTGTCTGTCCATCTGCCTTCCCTTTCAGAAAACACTGGCTGCAAGCCTAGCTCTGGGACAAACACTGAGGTGTTCATCACTGCCCTGGGGTTTATTAAAGTCCACTGAAAATACAATTTAGATGGGATGTGTGTTTGTTTGTTTTAAAGTAAAAAGTGCTGTTCGTGGTCAGGGATGGTGAACTCCCATTTGAGGATAAATCAAGAAAGGCTTTCTAGAGTTGGTGATATCTGAGCTGGACTTTCAAGGATGCCAGTACGAGGAGGAGAAGGGAGAAGGATCCTACAAAGGCTCCAGTAGAGGGTAAGAGAGGAAGGCCCAGAGATTTAGATTTGATTCCTTAGGTCAGAGTTTGCAATTGGGCATGCAGGGGCCTTGGGATCTGGGTTTCTCAACCCCAGCACAAAGCCTAAAGCCAAATCCAGTTTTGGGGGCTTGTTAAAATAAGGGAAGGAAGAGAAGCCCACAGTCCTGTTTCCTTTGTCCCACCCAGTGGTGTTTTGGGTTTGTTTGTTTGTTTGTTTCAATTTGATTTAGTTGCCAACACTGAAAAATCCGGAGGCTTCACATACAAATCCAGACTCTGGTTCTCTGGAAATTCTGAGCCCTCATCTACCCCTGGCTGCCTCGTCCTTCCAAAGGGCGTAGGCACTACAGTTTGTCCAGTTCCCACACCTTCTATTGTCCCCTGGCTCATAAACCTTTGATTTTGACCCTTGCTGTGACAAATCCAAGCAGGGTGTGGCACCATCGGGATGAGCAGCATCTTGGCTGAATTTCGGATTTTGTAGCAGGTACTACTGTGGTCTCTATTTTATGAATGGAGAACTTGAGGCTTAGAGCATTCCCAGGTTAGTGCCACCAAGGCTGTGTAACTGAGAAGTGACAGAGTTGGGACCTGACTCCCAGGAATCCCGAGTTTAAATTCTCTTTCCAAAAATATTTGCAAAGCATATATCTGATAAGGGGCTAATATCCAAAATATATAAAAAACTCATACAACGCAATAGCAAAAACCTAACCAATCCTATTAAAAAATGGGCAGATCTGAATAGACATTTTTCCAAAGAAGACATACAGATGGCCAACAGGTACATGAAAAGATGCTTTACATCATTAATCATCAGGAAAATGCAAATCAAAACCACAATGAGATATCGCCTCACATATATTAGAATGGCTATTACAAAAAAGACTAGAAATAACAGGTATTGGCA